TTGGGCTTCAGTGTCGCCAGTAGACAGCTGGGGCCATCCATCATTCCTTTCAGCGACTCCCACCCAACACCCAGCTATGGTACCTGGGCTCCCCATCCGCGCTTGGAGTCCACTGAAAGCTGTTCCCCCTAATAACTCTCCCACTGCCGTTTGAAGAGCAGGAAGGAAACGCTGTGTGTAAACGTATCACACTGCTGATATCATCTGTCAACTTCGGGCTTTGACCACAAGACTCAGTGTCAGCATGAAAAGTGAAAACCCCTACCTGAAGTACTAAATTCCGCGATCCTCTCTCCTGCGACAAGCCAAAGAAATGTCCAAGCCCAACAGAGCATGACTGTCCTGTGCCCCCGTCATCACACCAGCAGACCCACCCGGTTGGCAGTAAAGAGGACGAGGAGGGGCTGGTTTCCGAGTATCCTCTTCACTTCTGAAATGGGAAATGGAGAAATCGGAACCAGTGACCAAAATGCGAGTCACACAGGAAGCTTTGAAGGGCAGGTCCCACCCAGTGAGCCTCTGCATGCCCTTGGCTGTGTGGGGACTTTAGTGGTGAGAAGCAGCCTCTTCGTATGTATCGAGAGGAGGAGGAGGAAATGGCACCAGGTACCCCCCTGGACCTGCTCACCATAAAGTAGGTTCTTCTAATACCATTTTCCCCACGTGGAATTTTTTCTTTCTTTCTTTTTCTTTCTTTTAATGTTCTCATCTAGTGTGCACGTTTTTATGAATCATTTGGAAAAAAAAAAGTTAAGTTCATATTTTCCAGAAAAGATTGCCCACATTATATGAAAATGGCTGATTCTTCCAAGTGAAGGAAGCCAGAGATACAGCTTCTAAGTATAAAATTTTTTTAAAAAATACTAGTTTACAATAACTGTCCTAGAAAAAGGAAAAGGGAAATTGTCATTGGTCATAGCATCAACCTAGTCTTCTTGCATGTAAGAGAGACTCAGAGCTGGGAGCTACCATGCTTTATCTGTCCCCTGTGCTGACAGGGTGGCCATGAGAAATTTCAAACACCTTATCAGTGACGAGGAGTAAGGATATGGAATAGGGAACGTTTGATTATTTATTTTGTTTTGAATGGAAAATAAAAGTATTGGTTATAGAATAGTCTATGTCTTCTAGAGCTCTGAATGTTGACCATTAACATAAAAATAGCCTGTGTCTTGTCTTTGGGATTATGGGAATAAGATGAGTTTCCCAAAATTTTGGCTAAAAATCCCCCCCCAAAAAAAAAAACACTCCTGTAGAGTCTCAGCCTCTTTAAGGGAGGTGAGAGCCAGGGATAAATGGTACAGCCGCTGTCTTCAAGGGTCCATCACAGTGTGGAGGACAGAGTAAAAGAAACAACTATTCCGATGCTTGTTAACACGGTAAAGACTTTATTCAAGACTATTGCAATAGGGGAGAGAGATCAAGGCCCACTCCCAGTGCAAGGATAAGTGGGGAGTTATAGCCAAGGAGGAGGGTGCAGGTCAGTGGGTAGGAAGTTATCACGAGAAATGCAAAGAACAGGGATCCCTGCTAAACCCATATAACAGGATGTTGCTCAGGGCAGGTCAAAGATATCCAGGGTGGAGGTGAGGAACTTAACCAAATATCAAGGTTAATGCTCTCACCCAGGTGCATAGGTTGGGGGGGGTGGGTTACATAGCAGTGTACTTTGTTCAGACTGGCTGATCAGGCCAAAGATAGGACAGGTGCAGAGGTGGAGGCTTGGAGAAGAGAGCTCAGAAGATCCTGACCAAAGTTTGGTCAAGGAGAGAGTCTCTGTTGACACAAACACTCAAGTCAACAATTTTAACAACATGCAATAAAGAAATAAAGTCCATTGCTAAAACGGAAAGAGAGGGAGAAAGAGAAAGAGAGAAGAAGAAGAGAGAAGAGAGAGGAAAAGAGAAGAAAAGTCCATCACATATCCTATGGTCACTCTAAAAGTTCCCTTTAAAAAATTTTCTCCCCAGCAGATGACATAATCAAAATCAATCATCAATCAATCCATCAATCTGAGGGAGAGGGAAGGCCGCGGGGATCGGCAGCCCTGGCAGAGGCAGATTGAGCTCCTGGAGGAATACCAGCCATTCAGAGCAGGCTGGGGCCAATGGAAAGGAAAACTGACAAACCCCAAAGAAGAAAATCAGAGAATGAAAAACATCCCTGTCAGTGAGACAGACAAAAGGAGGAGCGACTAGACGTGAGTGTCAGAAACTGCAGAGTCAGGGAGGAGAAAGACTGAGCAGGGGCCTCAGGTTGGGGCCAGAAGTATTGGACATTTATATCTGGCTGCTGACCTGGCTGTGTACCAAGAGCGAGGGTAGGACCCAGAGGGATGATTGTTAGTCATGGGGACTAGGTCCACTCTGGTCTTTATCCTCACTTGTGACTACTGGTGGCTTTTCTGATCAGAACTGCAATCCATAAATTAGGCAGGATGAGACACCACCTTGTAAGATGGAGTGGCCTCCCTGACCCTGCTTTCCTTTGCCCACAGAGCCTCAGGAAGAACGATCTTCTCCATCTCAATCACCAAACGCACGTTCCTGAAGAGCAAGACGGAGCTTCTCATTTCATGATAAAAACCCTTGCTGGCCCCCACTGCCCATGAGATTGAGAAGTGATTCCATGCACCACCCACATTCCCAGTAGGATATGTCTCTCACATGCCCTCGCTCTGATATTTTCCTCAAAGACACCTTCCCTGACCACATGGATGAGGAAACTCCTACTCCATCCCTTCCTTACCATGACCCAGCACACAGCCATCTCTCTGATTATTCTTTTACATTACTTTTGTCTTAGGACGCATTCTTGTCTAAAAATACTCATTCTTAAAAGCTGTGTGACAACAGGAACCGAGTACCTCTTTCCCTGTGGGTCTTGCACTCCCTGTCCAGGAACAGTTTGTACAAATAAGAGGAGCTCAGCCACCGTTTGTTCAGAATTTATTACACTGCAGCCTAATTGTGGTTCCCCTAGCCTTGTCTTCCCACTAGACTGGGAACACTTTAAGAGCAAGGGTGCTGTTTCAGAAATCACATCCATGCTTACTGCAGAGTAGAAGCCAATTCCATTGATCAGACAAATGAAAAATGCTCCAGGTGGAGTCAAAACAGACGCATATCAATCTATTAGGACAACTCACTCTCTATATGAGCATAAGTCACTTAGAATTTCTGGATTTTCATTTTTTTATCTGCAAAATAAATCATTTGCACTGAATCAGTAGTTCCTCAACCTTAGAGCTAGCTAGAGAATTATAATTTCTGGGAGTTAACCGATAAATCCCTTTTTTTCCTTAATTTCTCTGACATGTGAAACATGGGATTAAATGATTGCTAAAATCATCTCTTCCATTCTACAATTCCGTGTCTCAGTGTACAAGGCTGCAGCAAACTAATGGCCTGAACATCCAGTCCTTGGGAATTTCCATCCCACTTGAGATGACAGACACTCCCTACATGATGCATGCACCTGCTGGCCTCCAGTCTCGGGTTCCCTGGGTCAGTTCCAGGCTGCAGCTTTGCCTCTGGGACTGTGTTTCTCAGATTATTTTTATTGGAAGAACAACCTGGAAAACTTGTTACAAATGTGTCTTGCTGATGGGCTCCCCCAAGGGCTGATTAAATGATTCTCAGGGAGAACAATGGATCTACTTTATAAACAAGTGTCTAGACTCTTGACCCACAAGTCATCTTTGGGAAACCCTTAGGAACAAGAACAGAGCCTGAGGAGATGGGCCAGCCCCTGAATCATAGTAATTGTTGCCATTTCTGGTGGTCACAGCACAGCACAGCACAGCACAAAACAGGTCCATTCTGAAATTTTCATTTAAATGGAATAACAACCTGCATGATGTGTTTTTCAATGTCTGCCCTTTCATAAGACCATCTAATGTCGAAGTGCTGTCATTCATTTCTACCATCATCAAAACGTTTCTGGAAATCAGAGTATCATGCAAGCATTGGGTAATCCATTTGTTAAGAATTGGACAACTTAAACCAAGCAAGGGTGCACGCTCTGTTGATGGGAGTAAAATGACCAAGTGACACTGATCACATCGTTCATTTGCACTCTGGCCACCTGGGGGAAGATGGGTAGTGACTTTCTCATTTTACCAATGGACCACCTAGGTTGGCATTGCTAGGAGCAGTGGTCTCCATTACTAATGATAATCACATACCTGTTAGGTGTTAGAAGAGGGATTCAGATCCAGATGTCGAAGGTCTCAAAGCTCCTGGTTTTGTTACCAT